CCCCTGATCAAAAAGGAAGATGCTCTTGAAACGGTGTTGATAGGGAGTATCCATGATGAAGATTGGGAAGTAAGGGAGTACACGAGGCTACTAGAAGACGCAAAAGCTAATCCAATCATCGCTCCAGTCAAGGAAGTCCTTAGTACATCGAGTGTTGGGGAGAGTTCGACGCCTCCCGAGGTAGAGTTGAAACCCCTTCCATCTAATCTTAAATATGCATATCTTGGTCCTAAAAATACATACCCTGTTATTGTTAATGCTGAGCTTAATAACATTGAATTAGAGAAACTTCTCGCTGTTTTAAGAAAATATAGAAATGTTATTGGGTATACCATTGATGATATCAAGGGTATTAATCCCTCTTTTTGTATGCATAAGATCATTCTTGAGGACGATCATGCCTCCTCTAGAGAACCTCAAAGAAGGCTAAATCCAACTATGATGGAGGTAGTCAAGAAAGAGGTTCTCAAATTGCTTGCTGCAGGAATAATCTACCCTATCTCAGATAGTAAGTGGGTTAGTCCTGTACAAGTAGTACCAAAGAAAGGAGGTATGACAGTTGTCAAGAATGACAAAGGCGAGCCTGTTGCCACAAGAACTGTTACAGGGTGGCGGATGTGCATTGATTACAGAAAATTAAATAAAGCCACCCGTAAAGATCATTTCCCCTTGCCTTTCATTGATCAAATGCTCGAACGATTGGCTAACCATTCCTTTTTCTGTTACTTGGATGGATATTCCGGTTTTTTTCAAATCCCCATCCGCCCTTGTGATCAGGAAAAGACTACATTCACATGTCCATATGGCACCTTCGCATATCGCAGAATGCCATTCGGACTGTGTAATGCCCCAGCCACGTTCCAACGGTGTATGATGGCTATTTTCTCAGGTCTCATAGAAAATTCTATGGAAGTTTTTATGGATGATTTTTCTGTTTATGGTTCATCTTTCGATATTTGCCTTGATAATCTAACAAAGGTGCTCCATAGATGCCAGGATGTCAATCTGATATTGAACTGGGAGAAGTGCCATTTTATGGTACAACAGGGAATCGTTTTAGGCCATGTAGTTTCAAACAAAGGGATTGAGGTGGACAAAGCCAAAGTAGAGGTAATAGAGAAACTTCCCCCTCCAAATTCTGTGAAAGAAGGAGAGCAAGTCCTTCTATTCAATTCAAGGTTGAAACTATTTCCAGGGAAACTCAGGTCAAGATGGTCGGGCCCTTTCACGGTCTACAAAGCATATCCTTATGGCACCATTGAATTATGGAACAACACCGGGGGCACCTTCAAAGTCAATGGACAAAGGGTGAAGCACTATCGAGCGGGAGATCCTATTGAAGAAAAGTCAGATATCACATTCTCTTCCTCACCACAAACTCAATGAGGATGAATACGGTCAAGCTAATGACCTTCTAAACAAGCGCTTGCGGGAGGCAACCCGATTCTTTTTGAGGAGCCGTCGAGATTCCTATGCTCTCCTTACGCTGCAATGAGGCCATTGCCGCATTTAGCTTGGGGGAGTTGCTTCGTACATGTGGTACTCTCTCTCTCCTTATCTCTCTTATCTTTCTTGTTTTATTTTAGTGTAGTTATTTTAGTTGTTTTTTTTTAAAAAAAAAAAAAAAAAAAAAAAAAAAAAAAAACATACAAAAAATACGATCCAATGAATAATAAATCATGCTTCCCTGTGCCCCATTCATGAAAATTGTTTTAATTCTTGGTATATGATGACGAGTATTGTGGATAGGTTAGCCATGATTTGATGTTTGATTACTTGGATGTCTTAACATGAGTCAATTTTGCCCAACTACTTGTGAATATAGTGCTTGACTAGTTGATTTGGTTAGGAATGTGTGTTAGTTCCTGGTATGTCAATGAAGTTGAGTATTGGTTTATAACTTTGAGTAATGTTTGCATGACTCATTAATATGCACATTGAGGAGGACGAAGGCATTTGTTCCTCTAGGTGGCTTTCAGACGATATTAGATACATTTGTTCCCTTCTTGCTACCCATGTTGTTGCTTGTGCCCTTTTATTGTTTATTTTGCCACATTACAAGCCTATTTAAGCCCCATTGGTTACTAGTCCCAAGCTTGGCTTGGGGGAGCTAATAGTGAGTGAGGTGAGGGAGTTGTAGTGTGCATGTAATCTGCACAATTTTGGGTGGATTTGAGAAGTTTTTATTTGTTCTTATTGTTGTGGATTGAAAAAATTGAAAATTTATTGTGCAAAGAAAAAATTCCAATGTGAGATGAAAAAAAGGGAAAAGAAAGAGCAAAAGAAAAAAATTGTTTCAATGTTCAAGTGTTCTAATTGAAGGCTGCTCAAGAAAAAAAAGGAGAGTTCAAAGTTTGTTTGTTCACTCAAGTTCTATAATTTTATATTTTGTATATATGAGTGAAATTTTAAGTGTTGGAAATTTTTAATATAATTGGATGTTTGGTGAATTTTTGGTAGAGTTGAGTTGTGTTGGAGATGATTTGGTCATTAATTCATTTTGACCTTGGTTTTATTTATTAGGATTTTGGCTCCCTTAAGCATAGCTTTACTCTTACATTTTCCCAAATATTTCCTACCTTTTATCCTAGCCTTACATTACAAGCTTTGAAGACCTTCTGACCTTTGTGCATAGAGTTGTGTGAATGTGAAATTAGTTGTTTTCCAATGCAAAGAATGATTTGATATATTTCGAGTCGACTGCTAGGTTGAGTGCTTGTTTTCTTTAAACACACGAGTGCGTGAGTTTGGGAGGGCATTGTTCACATTTAAAGGAGTTGGATGGAGAGCGATCGAGTATATCTTTTACTCGCCACATAAATGAGAGTTGAGTGTGTGAACACTAGTCTTGAATTCTATATGCTCTTGTGGTTTGCTCTATTTGACTATTGTCAGACAGGATGAGTAGTCAGATGGATTTGATTGGTTGACTTTGATGCATAACTGTCGAGTTTACCTTTAATCGTATTTATTGATTTGAATTGCTTTTGGGGTGAAGTATTGATTTATTTATTCATTGCTTTGCTTAGGGACAAGCAAAGGTTTAGCTTGGGGGAATTTGATATACGTGTTTTATACAATGGTTTTCCCCGGTTTTACTTAGTAATTTTATATGGTTTTGAGCTCTACGGAGCCATTTCTTGCTAACAATCTCTTCTTTAGTGTATTCGATTGTTTTAGTAAGCTTTTCAGGAATATGAAGCGTTTCTAGGCAATTGGACGTGTTTTTAGTAGATTCGGAAGAGTTGATAGCCAAGAACTGCAATTTATGTGGAGTGCCCGACCGGGCATGGCTTGCCCGGGCAGACCGGGCAATGAAGAGTTCACAGGAAGAAGCCCAATTCTGAACGGTGCAACGCGCGCCCGATCGGGCAGGCTTCGCCCGGTCAGACCGGGCGATGAAGAAGTCAAGTTATGAAGATGCAATTCTGGAAACGTGTTACGCGCGCCCGACCGGGCGAGGCTCGCCCGGTCTGACCGGGCAAAGAAGGAAAACTGTCGTATTTTACGCAGCTTTCCTCCGCCCGATCGGGCGAGGTTTGCCCGGTCTGACCGGGCGATGTTCAAGATTGCGCGATTTCAGCTATTTCCGAATTTCTATCTTTTGAGGGTATAAATACCCTTTTGTAATTAACTTTTAAAGAGAGTTTTTTCATTAGTTTTTCTCCTTAAGCCCTAGAAAACTCTCAAGAACCCTAGTTTTATTTCCTTTAAGCAATTTCAATCTTTTAATCCCAGATTAATCAATTGTTCATCAACAATTTGAGTTCTTTCAATTGGAGTAATTGGTATTTATCTTACTTCACTCTTTTCTGATATTCACTGTTCTCTAAATATGTTTTCTTTACTGTTTCTTGTTTTTGAACTTGATTTTGATTTTATTATGATGTGTGAGTAGTTTCCTTAATCCGGGATCTTGCTAAGCTCGATTATGATTGATGTATAAAGTAGATCTTTAAATTCCCCAATAATAATCCCAATTGACATGCTTAATTGATTGTGTTTATGCCAATACTAGATTAGGAATAATTAGTATTGTTATCATCCCTTTGTTCTTATTGCAACGGAAGTTGGGTATTAACGGGATTAGGTTATTCCAATTAAGGGTTTGAAGATCATCACGGAAGTAGATGATTGAATAATTAGGAATCTAGGCATGGTGTTTAATGTCCCTTATTCGCTTGATTCCACGGAAGTAGGCTTGATAGTTAATTTGGGAAGCCATTGATAACTTGGAAGAGACCTTTGGTATTATTATTAGGGATTGCTTTTCTTCTTGTCAATTGATTTATATATTGGGGGTAGATTTATTAGTTTATCAATCATAATCGTGGTAATGCTTGATCTTGGATGCTTTAGTTTATTGATTAATATTTCCTCTAGTTAATTGTGTTATTTAATATATTAGTTGATTATTATCATCCATTATTGATTGGTGACGTGCTTAGTGATTAATTGAGTCTGATTAATTGAATGAACCATAGTCTCTTGGGATTCGATCCTTACTTGCCCTACTACACAGTTAGAAGGAATAGTTAGGTTATTTTTGTTAGGTACGCGATAAGCCTATCAGTTACGCCGGTTACAATTAGGGTATTATTAGTAACTGGCAAATCTTAACGCCGGTTACGAATATATTTTTTTTTAAAAAAATGTTATTAGTAACTAGCATTAGATTACGCCAGTTACTAATAAATAAATAATTTTTTTATATAAATATTTGTTTCGAATACAAAAATGGTAGTATATCCTACCAAACCACCCATCGTCAAATGAGTTACAACCTGTTATAATTCAACCAACAAAACACATACTCCGAATACTTCCATATAACTTAAATAATTCACCCACAACATACAACACAAACACTCCAAATAATTCCACACAACTAGAATTATTCATCCACAACAATACAAATAATGCAATAAAATTACTTATACTTTCCAAGAAATCAATTAAAACTTGAATAAAATAAATCATTGATTTATAATTTAGAACTGTAACAACAATAACCAATAGGCTAATTAAATAAAAGTGCATATATAGAAAAGTGTTATATTGTTTTATTAAACTAAATGCGATTAATCATAACGTCGATTAATAAGACAATTAGTCTTTCAACAAAAAAATTAAGCCTAAAAAACTTAGCCCATTGTTCCCGAATCTCATCCAATTCTACATCGCTGTAGGCTGCAAATCTTGCCAAATACTCCCTGCAAATATATAAAACAAAAAAAATACGTGTCTACAATACTTTATAAAAATAAAACATCAACCAAAACTCGTATAAAGCATTTTAGCTTGCAAAGAAAAGGTAAATTCATCATTAACTCTCTTTCAAATTACCCTTGCAATCACTATGGAAAGACCGAAAGATACTATCTCATACATATATCTCATTACATAATAAGCACATTCGGTACTACCACATTGTTGAATGTTGAGCGAGCACACTAATTCAAATAAATATAGTACAATTATTTAATAAATTAAATAGTACTTTTATTACGTACTAATAGAACGAAAAGGCAATAATAATACGTTTACATCCATTCTTATGTGTAGTAATTGTGGCTTACTCATTTTGAAAGCATTGCCTTTGAGATGTGACCTATATACATTATAAGGTCTAAAAAAAGTCATAAAAAGCTAGCATTAGATTAGATGAATGAAAAATAACTTTTAATTACATGCATATGAGTACGTAGTCTATTTAATTAGGAATGTTGTGTACTAAAAGCTTCATTATTTTGGACAACTCTAGTTTTGAACGTTCGTAAAAAAAAGTTGAAAACAAAAATTGTCACCCTTATCGTAAGAATTCTAACCATACATGTATATATTAGTAAAAGTTAAAGCACATAGTGGAATTTAATGATTCAGATTGCTATAAATTCAAAATTGGGAGCTAAGTATATGAGATTATGGTTGAAATAACCTGAGTGTGCCTATAATTTCGCTACTACAAAAGGTTGAGACATAAAACTGGTCCTTAATATGCCAAGTCTCCTTCAAGTCCAAAGATAATAGTATCTATGTGATCCTCAAATTGCCAAGTTTCCTCCCAGTTCAATGATACTATCCATCATGTCTAACATGTCTGTAATAACACAGGAACCAAAAAAAAAAAAATCAGAAGATTGAAGCTGAATAAATTAGCAGAACAACATATCTAGTAATATAAATAAAGCATCACAATATTCCTGAAGTATTAGACCATTCATCATTCATGTATGGTCTCAGATTAAAGAAATATAATTATAAAACATGTCAATCTTTATTTGAACAAGCTAAGGTGTTTCATGATTTAAATTTCAATATAAGTAATGTATGATAATGTGATATTGTATTGTATATGGAGGCCACTCTCTAGTGACGTATGACAGAAATATTCATCTTCGGTCACAGTTCTAGAAAGAATTGAAAATGATTGTATGTCCTCAAGCGCTAGTGATAATGTTGATCAAAGTCCACTTATATATAGAAAAGTAAGATATAAAAGGTAGCCTTCCTGTCCATATTTATGAATTATAACCAAAAGCATACTTACCTAAGATTTTTGTCTGCTACCCTTTTTTTAATATTCAAGTAACAAACAAAATGGAAACCCACAGAAATACACGAAACAAGAATTTTTTTATTGTTTCTACCATTGAAGCTCATCTAACTCTGAGATTAAGATATCATAATTAACCCAACCAAAGCTCATCTAAATTAATTTGGACAAGGTGTATGTTCCAATATGTTCACCGTATTACATTTGGTTCATTAAATTCAACAAAAATACAGGGTATTACATTTATTACATTAATATTTAATTACTTTGTCCAAGTAGAAACAATTTGTGATGTTTCAATGGTGGAATTTAGATTGAACAACCTGTTATTTTCATAGAAACTCAGAGATTCACATGAAGACAATTCTGAATTTCAAATCTAGATATATCAACTACCGGCCAAAATACAATTACAGTAGAATTTCAACTCTGAATTTTAACTCTGATTTCAGTTCTGATTTTCAGTTCTGAATTTCAGCTCTGGACTTCAGATCTGAAATTCAGCTCTGATTTCAGTTGTGAAATTCAGCTCTGATTTCAGTTCTGATTTCAGTTTTGAATTTCAGCCATGATTTCAGTTCTGAATTTTAACTCTCATTCCTTCTCCCCTTTATTAACCTTTTTGGGGCTTTACTTAATCTAATATTCTTGATCAAATATGCTAGTATATAATGTGTTTTTGCCTCTCTGATAATGATCAGAATATCAACTCAAGCTTCTTGTGCCCAACCAAAACTCATCTAAATTATTTTTTCAAGAAAAATTTATGTATTAGATTGAACAAATAATGCTCAAATACTTTTGATACAAAAAAAAAAAGGGCACCTAACTACTTCCTAGGAAGGAAAAAACCCCTCAGGAAATTTACTAAAGAAGGCAAGTACGATAAGAACAAAAAGTATAGCCAATTCAGATATACACGACATCCTTTCATCAAATGACCATTTTCCCACAAACAAAATTTGTTTAATTGACACAACTCTGGCACAATCTCAACCCTCATCGTGCTCTCTATCTCAATTCACAATCCTATATTAAGACTTGACTGCAATATACTCAGGAACAACTCTTAAACCTGGAGGTAATGACATGTATATTACGAAGCAGACGAAACACAGATAAATGTTTGCAGACCTTTAACAATGTATCGCACAAACTACACCCTAGTTTCTAATGCAGTCTTTTATCAAGAAAATTAACCAATAACTAAATATGTAACTACAATTATTGAATAGTTTCAAAATACAGGTACAAGAGGGAAATTATGCTTTAAAAAATTTCTATAGTGCAAATCAAAATATCTATAAACAAACCATATTAAGTTTAACTAGGTAATCACACAGACTGACATTATGCAAACTAATATTGCATATTAAGTTTCAAAACAAAAACAAACAAAAAAAATTACAATGTAATCATACTCATATAATGCAAATTAATTCCATTAAAAAGAATAAGCAAATTAAACCTAAAATCGGCAGCACACAAGCAAATACCACATCTCCTAATCAAATCAAAATTAATCAACCATAACAACACCACAAGGTCAAAATCATGAAATTCAATTCGAATTTTAGGGCTCTTATTGAATTAAGAAAAGAGATAATTACAAGAACCTTAATTACATACCTTTAAACCTCAATAGAAGCACTATTGCTGAATCCAAATTCGAAAACCAACAAAAAAAAATGATAGTAAAACGTTCGTTGGAGATCGAAGATGAGGAGGAAGATGCTCTCCGTTGATGGAGGAGTATGAACACAATCAGAATCGAAATTACTTCGCTAACTGATCAACAATAAAGTTTAATTCGATTTTTGGGGCTATTTTCGAATTTAAGTAAGGAAAAATTACAAGAACCCTAATTGAAAAATTACATACCTGTAAACCTTGATATAAAACCAATAAAAGTGAACCCAAATCAAAAAATTATGCAAATTGAATGGAGTTTGTTGGAGTGAAATCATGAAACTCTAGGAGGAAGGAGGAGCAAAATTGAAAGCTAAGCGTGAGAACTTGGAGTGAAACTGAAAATACAAACAAAAAAAATTTCAGTCTTTTGTTTGTATTTCAATGAGAATTGTTTCCTTTCTTAAAAAAAAATAAAATAAATAGTTTCCTTAATATTTGTAAATGGCATTTGTAAGCTAGTTACAAACGCCAAAGTTTCTTTTACTTAATATTTGTAATTGGCGTTTGTAAGCTAGTTACAAACGTCAAAGTTTCTTTGACTTAATATTTGTAACTGGCGTTTGTAAGCTAGTTACAAACGTTTTGGTCAAAGTTTCTTGACTTCATATTTGTAAATAGCGTTTGTAAGCTAGTTACAAACTTTTTCGTCAAAGTTTATTTGACTTAATATTTGTAACTGACGTTTGTAAGCTAGTTACAGACTTACTTAATATTTGTAACTAACATTTATTTAGTCAGTTACTAATAAAACTTCAAACAATGATAAACTACATATTAGTAACTGACATTCACTACGCAGGTTACGAATGTCATGAAATTAGTAACTAACATTATATTAGTCGGTTACTATTGATGCTTTCGTAACTAGCATAATATACGCCAGTTACTAATAGGGCGTTACAAATAGCATTTTTTCTACTAGTGTATGTAAATTTAAGTGCTCATTAGGTTGTTTCTTACAGTACAGGGTGTGCGTTTGTGATTGTTTAGGTTATGCTGAATATGTTATGGACTTTGGCATTTGCAATTGACTTGAGCATCAACTTTACCTAGGCTACAATGATATTGTTTAGATTTATGATCAGAATATTAATGTTTTGATTACTGATTTATTGTAATAGTGAGCTTATCATTATTTTTAAAACATGCTCTTATGCTAGATGAAGCCTCAGCATGTTCCTTTGGACAAGCTAACTCCCAAATCTAAGAAATACAAGATCAAAGTTAAAGTCAAGGAAAAGTCTCCTGCAAAATACCCTGAAAACAAAAAAGCTTTTCAAATACTTGTATTTGAAGATGATGAGGAATAACGCTGTGATGATACATCTTTAATGTTAGTAAATAAAATTGCATTCAATCTAAATTCATTTTTGCTATCTGTACAGGACAACAAAATCAGGGGTACTTTGTTTGATGATGAAATAAAGAATTTCCAGAATATATTGGAGCATGAAAAAGAGTATATCATAGCAGATGCACCTGTGAGGAACACTAATCCAATGTATCGTCACAAAGAAGGTGACTACTACTTGTCATTTGGAGGGTCAGCTGCAATTCAATCACTGAATCCTAACACTGGTCCTGTGTTGCCAAACTACATTCCTATTGCTGAAGTTCCACCCACAAGTAGTCCTGATGATCGCTTTGGTATACTTTGCCTTTTGCTTTGCTTTATCTAATGCATCTATATTGTTAAATGTTTATTAACTTGGTGATTTTTATTATAGACATCCTTGGAGTTGTTGTCTACTTGGAAGAGACAAAAAAGAAGAAAGTTGCTGGTGGTTATGAATTTGATGTGCGCGATGTTATTGTTGTTGATGATAGTGTGCAAAAGTTACTTTTCAACATTATATGTAATTATATGTATTATATATCTTTTGTTTAATTATTTGTAACAGTGATAAGTTATTGCATCTGTAGGGTTGGTGATGGGCTTGTGATTTCATTGTACGGAGAACTTGCTACTAAAGACTGTGCTCAACTATCAGCTTGGTGTGAATCTTTCATGATAGTGAGCTTCCGGCATCTTGCATATGTTTGATAAACTATATATATGCCTTAATTGATATTTTGTGATTCGGGGTTCTCATTGTCATCATTTATGTCAACTAATATTGACATTAATCCCACTGGTCCAGAAGTTAATGCGTTAAAGGCTTGGTGAGTTCATATAATGTGTAGATTAAACAAGTATTGATTTAAATGATGACTGCTTAGTTTCTGTTTAATGTGATATAGGATATTAGAAAACCAGGACCGGGTTTCTGATCATATGGGGCATCACCTATCAATTGGGGAGGAAAGCAGCTCTGATGTTATTATGAGTGTTAAGGACTTGAATAAAAAACACAGTAATTATTCTCTGCTTTAATATATATATAATTTAATTATGTTTACAAACATTCCTATAATTGGTATTGCTTGTATTCTGCTACAGCTACTGCATATGAGCGCCACTGGATCCATGTTACAATTCCAGACGCTAAGCAGGAAGATGTGAGTGCCTTTATTGGATGAAGTGGATGCAGAAAACGCTGCGATAATGTGGATACTGTTAAATTCTATTGTGATGTATGCAGTGTTCAATGCATTGCAGAAAAGAGGTAAAAATATCATATATAAAGCACTTGCTGTAAGTACTTGAAATCACTAACTGAATATGGTTCTTTTTCAAGGTTAGTGTTAGCTTCACTGCAATGGATGATACCGGTAGTATTCGCTTAACTGCATATGGAAAACAATGCGAGGCATTGTTTGGCCTTAAAGATGCAGAACTTGTACAGAAAAAGGTACATAATTTTAATTCAGTTCTTGCAATTATCATCACTATATTGCAGTGTTGTTCCTAATATCAATGTATGATATTTTTATGTTAATTAACAACTGTGATGTTACATGCAGATGACATAATGGCCTGAGTTTGAACCTATTGCTGCTAATTTGAGAGAAAAACCAATTAAGCTTGAAGTAGGTCCAACTGGTGCAATTAAGAGGGTTGGCTATCTAAAGTGGGTTGCGAAATCTGTTTCAGTTGTAGTGAAGTTGAAGCTGGGTAGACATTGGGCTTCTGGTAGGAACATGCTTCTTTGGGATCTACTGATTGGTCATTTTGGATGTGTTCTACTTGACACCTTTTGCAACAATGTTATATTTTCAGCATTTATTCCATGTCCTTATCTATTCCCTAACTTTTGCTGATTTAGAACTACTCTAATCATCCTATTTGGTTGTCTTTTGGATTCTGCAAGGTTACTTTTATGTTCATATGGACATTGACTTCTTCTTGATGTATTTGCTATCTTATAAATTTTCTGCTGTAGGAATGTTCATCATGATTTCTGCTGATGTATTAATTTTTCAATGGATCATGATTTGCTATTATGCACCCTTGAAAGATTAGTTTACTATAAGCTTTTGAAACAATTTATTTGCAAATTGCTAGAATTCAAATGCACATCTTATAAATACCAGCTGAATAACATTAATTTAAAGATAGAAATCTCATACTTTACTACATGGATTCTTATATAAGCATTCATTACAACACAATGTTCCACATAATCTACCAACACTTATCATAATTAACTTACATGTGAGCTTTTCATACCATTATTAATATTAATCTAAAAGCTTTACCAAAACCAGTAATCAACACTACCTCCTTCATTGTTTTTTGAATTTTTATCCTAATCCTGGTTGATTGGTAATTTTTCATTAGGTTCTTCTGTTGCCTGAGCTGCATCATCTTTGGCTAACATAGTCTCTTCAGTACCATCTGCTCTGCATATTAGAGTTTCCTTTGCTTCAGCTTTAATCTTTTTCTCTTTTTTAAGCACTCTGATTTCAGCAATCTCATTTTCAATTTCATGCAATTGCATTTCTATATTGTCTATTCTTTTCCCAACATCTAAGCAGATGATCCTTGCATCTGATAATTGACCCTGTAAATGAGCTTCTCTATATAAAAGTTCTTGTAGTTTAGGTTCTAAATTGCGTTTCTGGAAAATAGAAGTTTGCATGTGTATTGAAGACACATGCTTTTCTGCCATGTTAAGGGATAAGGTTGAGATAAAAAAACAAGTTTCTCTAGACTAAATAGCATTATATGTATAGTACAAGTTATTTTTAGATGCATATATAATAGCATTTATATTTGAAGCCATTCAAATCTAAGGAGTGCATCAATTTATTATCTGGAAGATAAACAATATCATTTATACTACACCAGCTTTATACACTACAACTTCAATCAAGCTGATTGTAAGTGAAAAAAGCATTTGTTGTGTCACACAATAGCTCTTTGTTATGTAAAAAAAGCATTACATTATCTATTGGATATTTAAGAAAACCATCACTCACTCAAGTAATAACAGATATCAATATTGATACACAGGGCTCTAAAAAAAAAGTTGACTAAGCCTACACAAATAATCAGAGTAGTGGATTACTCTTTAAAAAAAATTGATTTTCTTTTGGCTTATGTAAAACTCTTTTTTTGATATATTTTACCTTTCAATTTTAATAGGTGCATATTTTAGTTGAATTTTTTCCCCTAAAGAGCAATTAAATTAGAAATGCATTATAAAAATCTTGTAGATAAGCTTCTCTTAACAGATGTCCTAAAAACTAATCTTACATGCTATTCTAATGCACTAAAAAATGCTACTAATATAACTTTAAAAATTCATGATTTTCTGCCATTGTATACCTTGTTGCAATAGATTAATTGTATGTTTGAAGAAATCAACTTATTATCCATGAGATAAAACACAAATTCCCACATGTAGAATCATAGCTAATGTAGTATATACACATTGCTTTGTATCTAACTAAGATGTAATTTAGGTAAAGGTAAAATTCACATCATTTTTCAGAATACATAGAATCAAAACCATATTAACTTATTAAACCAGGGACCCAAGGCAATATTATAGCCTTGGTAGTTTTATAAGCTACACATTGAACTTATTTCTTTTAAACCCAAAAAATCACTTAATATGTAATAAATTGATGCTAAATCATATAGTGAATGAAACAATTCAAACCATAAAGAATATTCAAACAAACTTATATTTTGAATATCAATATATAGAACATAATATGTATCTAATATGTATATAACAACAATATCTTTGTTTAGATACTTCCTTTTCATCCATATGAAAATTCATATCTATCTTAGTTCAATTTGTATTTTTTTTAAATTCATATAGTACATTAGCAGTTAATTATATAACAACAGAACACTACATGATAATCAAGAAGGTCATATTGATAATATAATCTACTAAAGATACATGCAATAATAAAATGTAATTAATCATACTTTAATAACATCATTTTACACTTAATATGTATCA